GACGGATTTTCAAGCAGTTTTCAACAATAGATAGAGCAATTCTTGAGGAAGGTGTTAGTGAATAGTAAATTTAGGTTTTGCACAAACTCATGATAGTAGTTCAATATATCGGAAAAAAAGCTGCCAAAAAGTTTTGAGTTATAACAAAACATTGTATGGTGGAATTGTACCTCTTTAATAGATATACAAAAAAGTCCGCTTTGCTATCTGTCTATATTCCAAGTATTACCCACAATAACCATTTTTTACGTATACTTAAATCAGTAAAATGATGGGTTATTTACGAACCTATTTTTAACAAAACAGTATTAATCCTTATTCAAATAAATAAGTTAGATACGTTATACATGTAATGTACTCATCGAAATTACCTTTTACACTATTTAAAAAAAAAATAACAGATGAATTATCGGAAAATAAAAATCTCCGGGCGAGCTATTAAATATCTATGAATAAAAATGAATCGCCGAAACGCATAACTTACGAATTCCAGTTCCGGTTCCGACTGCACCAACGATTCATGACACGATTTGTATATAAGATTTTTTTTAAAACGGGTATAAGGCGGTACGAAGTTCACCGGGTCAGCTAGTAGATTGTATAAATTGAAGTTTACATCAATAAACAATGAAAACTCATTACTTATAAACAAAGAAGTAATATCATTAACATCAAAATTGCAACTTTACAAGAGATGCAAAAATTTAAGTCAGCATAATTTTAGCTGGCGCTGAGGATATAAATACGTTACTACCATTAAAACACGAGACCTCAGATTTTGCGCCATCTTGAAATTGGCATGCGGGCCACACTGCCACAGAGGTTGTCAAATATAGATAAATAAATACCTCGACAGAGCTTGAAATGAAAAAAGCAGAATAGTGTTTTTGGTGAAAATCGTGTTTACTTTCTTGCTTGTCGATAGAGAGTCACATAGCGATTTGCGCTTTTGTAAAATGAAGGTATAAAAGTATAATCACTACATAGTATAAAACAAAGTCGCTTTCTCTGTCCCCATATCCTTGTGTATGCTTTAAAACTACGCAACGGATTTGACGCAGTTTTTTTTCATAGATAGGGTGATTCAAAAAGAAGGTTTTTATGAATACAAGACCACTGGCGGAATTAAAAGACAAACTTGTAACGGTGTGCCGTACCACCGTTTATTTCCCTAGGTTTCAGCATGTAAACTTTTTGTCTTTTAATATTCAACATCATTTCTTTTTATTATTCATCTTTCATAATTAAAATTTTTTAATCAAATATACTTTTTATGGATGTCAGTTCGTAATAAATTCATTTGTAAATAAAATGTAAATTAACATATTATCGTTTGAAATCGTATAAATTTTAATATAAAATTTTAAAATGATTAAGAATGAGACATTGTAATACAAATTATATAACACTAGCTTTCGCCAGCGGCTTCGCCCGCGTGCACCCTAGGGAAATGTTAAGTGGGATAAAAAGTATCCTATTATTTAAGTCAGCTAACACCGTATCTGTATACCAAATTTCATCAAAATCCGTTCAGTAGTTTCGGTGTGATTGACGTACAAACATCCAAACATCCAAACATCTGAACATCCAAAAAAAGAAACTTTCACATTTATAATATTAATTAATAGGATAGTGAATTGTAATCTGTAACTTGGACGATCCAAGTTTTTAACAAGAAATCCAAAAAGAAGGATGTAGGTATTTGTTTATTTGGTAATTTAAAATTTTATATTTAGGTAAGATACGGACTGTTTTTATATTCATTTTTTGTTTATTACAGATCTTTATTTATCCATATACAATTAATAAATCCATACTCAAGCTAGTCAGTCTTATTAATTGACTCAAGCACCGAACCCGTCACAAACTGTATCTGATACATGGGTATATGAGTTTTGGATGAAAGGTTGTTGTTTGTTGTTTTATTACTCGTACCGATGTCCCTTTGAGATATACGAACTAACACATACATAACTCGGATTCCAAGATCTAGACACCGCTAGCCCGCTAAAGCAGTCTTGAGTATACGATACGAAGAACGTACCGCTATATCCAGACTCGAATAACAAAGAAAAGTCCATTTGCTACATTGACCTGACGGGGAATCGAACCCAGAACCTCAGAGGTGGCGACACCTCGAAATGTATCGGTCGTCGTCGAATATGTATCGTTAATAAAATTATCGTGTAACAAAATGGGAAAATAATCTGAATTAATTTGCTAAACCAACTACGAAAATAAAATGGTATTGAGATATCATGTGAGACCCTGAGAAGGAGAGATCTAAAGCTAAATATAATTTCTTGCTGTCTTTTAAAACCCTCGTGATTTATAAAGACAGCAAGAAATTACATTTAGATGTATTTAACACTAGCTTTCTAGTTACTTTTCTTTTTTAATATAAGTGTGACAAATTAAAGTTTTAATATTCCCTTTTAAAATTAAATTTACTGAATAAATTTTATATAAATTAAAGCTTTATATATAGTAGAGATTACTTTCTATTAATTATAAAATTTAAAACAAGCGGAGGGTAAGAAATCACGAAAATAGGCAACTGGAAATATTAATCCCACGACGACGAAAGTAAACTACAATGATCTTGTACAATAAAATTAATATTATTAATCTATAAGGCTTTTAACTACATCTTTTAAACAAAAATCACATAATATTATTGTAATTTATAATTTTGATTTGGGCAAAGTCACATTAATCAAAACTTTAGTGGACTGCACTTAGAACTTTTATCATAGAATTATTATCGAAATAAAATCTGATAATTTTCGCAGTCATATTTACAGCATCAACAACTGTCAATATCATAATGAAGCTGATAGTTGATTTAGCTTTAATTGTCCATCAATAATATGGATGACGACTGCAGAAAAAACAAAGAAACTATTTACTCCGTCAGCCAGATAATAGAAAAATATTAGATATGTATTTTTTTACTTCAATTTAACAAGTAATAGCTTAGATCAAAGGCATTAAAGTTGAGGAGTGGGGATTTTATAGAAAATGTACATAAGCGTGACGTCATGTGACATTAACTCAATGTATCGACGTAATTTAAAGATTAGGAAAAAAAAATACGTGTTTAATATTTTTCAAAAATCTACCGGACGGACAAACAAACAAAAATAGTCGTCATACTTATTCTGTTATTTAATTATACTTTGAGACGTTGCGTTTCGAGTACCGCCCGCCATAGGTATAGCAAACGTCCGCGCGATTCCGAAGCTCTTTATAATAAAGCCACAGAAATAATTAATAATAACAGAAATAATGCTATTTTATTAAAAACATATCTCAGCTATGCTGTGAACTGTCAGTATACCATATCAAAATATATTAAGTAGTTTTACCCTGAATTTTCGCATTTATAATATTAGCGGACAATCTTATGGGTGGATAGAATCGTTTTTAATATTGCCTTTTAAAGTTAAATCCTGATTAAAGCAAAAGAAAACGATTAAAAAGCACAAAAATAAAGGCAATTGAAAATATTTATCACACAATGACGAAATCAGGCATAGTTATTTTTCATCGCATGTCATCGATATTAATGCCAAAGATGAGATTAAAAATTATAAGTTTGTCCGTAAAATTAACTTTAAGGTAACCACAGAAAAAATCCTGTAAGAATTTGATGATACTTGGTAGGATATCTTAAAAAAGTTTTTATTGTTTGTTTGAAATGTATAGCTTTCGAAATCACGTGACCAATTTAAAAATAATTTCATCTACGGAAAGGCACGCGGATGACATAGGTTATAATTTACGCTGACAACATCGCGGTAAAATAGCTACTATTTCTTAAAATGGAAATATTAATATCTAATTAAGAATTTATTCTTCGGCGCAATATAATTCAAACATCCTAAATAATACATTATCTTTGCAATAAACTAGATAATTAGAAGGTATCATCTAAATCTTTGCTATTCTATAAATATAGAGCTTTGAATACAGCGCTACCTAAGCATTAGAGGTTCATTCAAATAAAAACTTTAAAAATTTATAAAGGAGGTTTATTTTCATTGAACCTCTGATACTGTGACAGCGCTATGTTCGACGCTGTATTCTTAATAGATTTATACCTTTAGCTCTACTCCTACTCAGTATGAGCGTTGGGCCCGAGACGGCGTTTAAGATAGAGCGGGCGGCATTTTAAACGCAACGCCTCTAAGTATAATTAAACATTATATATAATGCTGGGAAATTTAATTAAATTATGATGTTGATAGTTGTCGATGCTGATACTTGACTGTGAAAGTTATTCATCAGATTTTATTAAAATACGAATAAAAATACTTTTTCACGAAGCTTTAAATCAATATGGCTTTATCTAGCACATTAAAATTATTAATTACATTATATGATGTGACTCGTGTTAAAAAATGTAATTATAACAATAATACGAATAATATCTATTTTATTGCCCAGCATATTGGAAGTTTAGCTTGACATAAATCGTCGTTCGATCGGTGTAAGGTCGTTGTACACCTTAATAATTCACCTATGTTTAAAATATTTTCTTTTCTTTATATTTTATTTACTTACTGTTTTATTGGATGCATCATAACTATAATTAATATAATTTGTAGGAGAACTATTTTAGATTACAGATACAGACCACGCAAAGCCTAATTATAATTTAGGGATTAGTTCAAAAATTATATTGTTGATATATATTTTCAGTATGTTCTCCCAAATTTTAGTAATAGATATTCAGTAATTATCAGTGGGTTTATTTTGTATATTCACCTACCTTTTAAAAAGTTACTAACAAAAATAGTATGACTCCAGTAAAATATAAAACTATATTATATATGTTTGCAATATTATCCTACCTTTGTTAATAAAGATTATAACCTAATAATGAAACAAAAATTTCAATCATATTATTATAAATTTTGGCACCGATACTAAGTTATTATTCATAACCCGCCAATGTCCGCTATATAAAACTAAAAAAAAAATATTGAAGAACTTACCGGCGCTTTCCACCGCGCCGGGCGATACCGGTACTGGATCGCATTCCCTCTCCTCTCTTCTCTGTTCAAACTCACTCTGCACTCTATTTACCGGGCGGGCACCATTAAGTCCTAGAATCGCGTCTATAGTATGCCTAGGCCCCTGACTAACACTCGGCACTTGTGTCAAACCCAATCTAGACTTAACCGACTCGAAACTCTGATTCAAATGCATCTGTTGCGCATGAAAAAACATTCCCATTCTATTTAATGTCTCTAAATTCTGCTGGTGTTGCGACAATGATAGCGATTGGTCTGTCACGTTAATTGATGAGTTCGAATTGGGACTGCTCATTTGTGAGCGAGGGCTGTTTGTTTCCGACCGATCCGGCGTTTGGTTGCCATAATAACGCTCTTCGTTCGCGTCCATCTCACACGGGAGCGCATTAGCGACTGGCGCGCGTTTTCAAACAACACTCCGGGCCGGTAAGGAGGCGTGGCTTAAAAGGAGGGGGATCGCAAAATTGCCCATTGAAAGTGCGAAATTTGGGGTCGCGTTGTGATTTTGTTTGGTAAGAAGCAAGAAGCGGCATATTAGCATTTTCCCTTGGAGTTTCTTCGGTATTGAGATGTGACGGTTGAATAGTTTTTTTTTTCGGTTTGATTGGGTCGATTGTGCTAGGTGTTAGTGTCATCGGGTTTGTTGGAGGCTCTCGTTTATTGCTTTTATTCGAGATTGCTAGTTTTTTTTTTACAATCTGGATAGATAACTTTAATTAAGATAATAATTTAGGTGTTTTATATAGCCTGGTAGAAAGAGCTTATTTAAAAATAAATAATGTATTATTTACATTCTTAATACTATACATATACCTATTTCGTTCTTTTGAAAATAAAGTAAAACCTCAATACTTGAAATGATAATAACAAACAAACTTACAATTACGGAAATGCCCATGAGCCCAATTTCAATTAATCAAACTAATCAATACGCAGCCAATCAGAGATACTTATCTCATGCGACGTTCATACAACCGAGCGAGACAGAATAGTAGACATCTGCCTGTTAACACACGAATTTAACCAAATCGGTTAACCCATAACCAAACAATAACAGCTTTTCCAACTGACCACTCAGATATTCACATAAAAACACAAGAGGCTCGCCTGATCGTTAGAAAATATGCTCTATGAGTAGGTAATAAAATCAATTGTCTAATGTGTGAAAACGGTTGCTTGTACCTTTTTAAATTCCCTGTCGTTACCGTCAATATAATTTTGTCTTATTCGCACTTTATATAGATCTCGCTCGCTCTCATCTCAGGTGTGGAAACGGTTGTCAAGGGGCGGAGCGTGGCGTGACGTCACGCATTGATCGACCAATCGCGAGGAGGATTTCTTTTTTCTTTTCCCGCGTCTTCTTTTGTCGACGAGTTTCTTTTGTCCGCGGCGCAGTGATTGTTTGCAGTTGAGGGTTAACTTTAGGAATAACAAGCTGCTAGCTTTGAAAAGATAAATTAATATTTACTGAACGCGGATTGGTAATTTTTGAATATACATAGTTGTCAATACTTGTAGGTTTGATAATAACCTCAATATAATTATTTTATTTACTCTCACATCAGTAAAAGCTAACTTATTCGCACATTGTCTATATAAAGACAAAAATTATAACCGAAAATCCATGGACGTCTATATTTAAAAATTATTGTCTTAAAAATGCACTTAAACAGTACCAATTTTAGATATTATTACCTTAAAATAAACCGGTTTGACAATAAATTGGTATAGAACAGTTTACACTGTTGCTTCTTATACCAAATTACCATAATCAAATTTGTTATTTCTACTACCTAATATAAGGTTTAACTTAATAATCTTAATTATTTAATATCGTAAATGATTAATTTAAGGCGCCTTTAATTACAACATTAGTTGAGTAATATCAATTGATTTGAACCTAGAAATAAAATCCGAACAAACTGCGATTAATAATGATAACAAACCAATGTAGTACTTACCTTCAGGTAGATACTACAAACTTTTTTAAATTTTCTCGACAAATAAAAAATTATACAGCCAATGTGTATCCACATTGCGTGGTTCGTTTGAGTTCTAGTCGAGGCAGTCATCCAAGGCAAATAACTCTCTTGCCTCGCCTCGTGATGTGGATTCACGCCTTTACAGTGTTCCTTCTACAATTTATTTATATGCAGTTCCTTTTCGAATATGAGTCTATAAGCTTTTTTATAGTGATACATAACATTCTATTTTAATTAGGTTATATGTGTCTTAGCGTCACAATCTATTTCTATTCATCTTATATTTAGGCCACTCAAAGTGCCGTTGATTCCATCTTGTTTTCTCATCATCTTAATACCCATCCATTGCCAACAAATATCGGTTACATTCAAAATTTCATATTTACATTATTACATACTGTCACTGATAGTTCATCTCACAGTGTTAAACAAACATACTTATGCACTACGCTAAACAAATATGCAATATAATTACATTAATGTGATTGCAGTATCCTTTGAATATTTAAAGGTTTGTTTGTGACAATTAACTCTGAAACTCTCCATTTGATTGGAAACACGCGACAATTAGTTTCAGTGCATTATAATGTCGCATTTTTTAATCCATTATCAATTTGTAATGGGAAAGTTTTATCGATTTATTTTCGATATCCTTACGAATACTATTATTTACAATATGTCTATTTCTGCAAGCAATATGTCTATTTTGAATTCAAACTGGGGCTCATCTATAAATTATATCATATATTAAGGGGTGTAGATGATGTGTGACATTGTGAAAAAGGTAAATACTAAATAACATAACGTCATATTTTCAAACTCACACTATTTTCAAATAACACGAAATTTGAACTACTTCCACTAATCGATACCAAATCAAACATTTGAAAAAGTTGAGTTTAAATAAAAAATCTTCTTTTGCCGTCGTAACTCTCATGTGACGCTTATGGTTCGCTAGTTTATAACGTTATAAATGGATACAGCTAATTCTATTTTTGCTCAATTTTAAATTAGAATCTTGTCGATTAATTTATTGAAATAAAAGATAAAATAAATAAATATAGAATATAAGACTACATATATCTCAAGTAAATTAGCTAAGTCCGCTGTCGCAGATTTCCACAGGCGTTATGTTGTGTAAATTTGCGACAGCAAAGGTCACAACAACGTGAAACATATCTTTTCTATATCCAACCGGCCGGGAATCGAACACGAGACCACAGACACGTAGAGACCATAGAGATGTGACATTGTAAATGCGCCAATACGAAATTGATAGGTAATATTCTGTTTATCGCGAAATTCCATTATTAACCCGTTCCAAAATGTCGATGTTTAATTTAAGTAATTTCACCCCTCTTTGGCTTTGATATAATAACAAGTGGTTAATTACAAATTCATCGACAAATTAAGCGAGTTTGCTCGAGATTGATTGGGATAAGTATGGGGTAGGAGGGGAGGGGAGGCGCTAATCTGCGACGACCATACTACAATTTGGACTAAAATGTTGTAACAATTGTCGATAAAATGATTTGATAACATAAAGATTCATTAATTATAGTAAAAATCTACTATGTAGCAATGAAAACCTTAATTGGCAGCCAATAAAGTATAGTAAACTCTTATTGATTTATTAAAGTTCATGAGCCACACAACATATAAATATAATCTACTAAGCAATTTTATAAAAAAATAGTTTTAAGTGAATCAAAAAATCATCATTAAAGTAAACTTTATATCGTTCAAAATGTTTTTCCCTGGCCTTCGTTCACGTCTTCTTTTAGCTGATAAAAAGAACGAGCGAAAACAACTCCAAGAGAAATAACGACATTTCCAAAAAAGCATTTAATTGCCAAATTAATACGAATTATTTATGTGTAACAAATGAGTTACATTTTATTTATCATAAAAAAAAGATAATTAACAAATTCGCTCAATAACTAAAACCTCTCAACTGTCCATAATTTTAAAATAAATTTTATCGATGTCTCTGAACGCAGCCGTCCATCGCCGACGGTCTCTAATTGTTGAATGAGGCAGTATTAAAGCGCCAATTAACCAACATTGATTGGTTTTGAGGTCCCTCCCCCCTCGATCCGTGCCTCCCCACCTGAAAGGGCTAGTTGTGCCTGATAATGTTTCGGAATGAAATTAGTTTTCTTTGAAACTAACCGAGTTTTGTCGTTATATGCATGTGGGTGTTTTGGTTTTACATTAAATTTTGTAAATTAAATTGTTAACAGAAATATCTAATAGTTTTTAAAAATCTAAAGCGGCTGCCTGATATTAACCTTCTGATTTGAGGAAGAATTTCCTGTTAAAATTTATTATAGTGCCACTTAGATAGAAAAAAATGTTAGTAAAACTTCATAGTAATTCATTTCTTCATTTTTCTATATATCTATCTATATACATATATATTTATATAATAAATATTAATTTCCGTTATAAATCCTATCTACTAATATTATAAATGCGAAAGTTTGTAAGGGTGGGTGTTTGTTACTCTTTCACTATTACTGAACGGATTTCGATGAAATTTTGTATACGGATAATTCTAAGCCTGAATTGATATAGTTTTATTTTTTATCCTACTAAAATGTTATCTATGGATAAATGTATTGTCAAGTCATCTTGTGAACAGTGTCGAAGCCGACAAGAAAGCTAGTAGGGGCAATACGGGAGACTTGATCAGGTAGGAGACACGACCCTAATGCGTAAATCCATCGTTTGGTATTATTTACAAAAACACTCAATTACATACCCCGTTCCTGAGTTTTCCTTTAGAAGATACGATGCAAACTTATACACGTACACTTAAATACATGTGTATGTAAACATAGATTTTTTATATTACATACAGACTTTAGAAATATTATATTAATAATTTCATAATAATTTCAATGATAATCGTATTTTTGCGGGGAAAAAAATCTCCCACTTTATAAAGAAAATTATACTAATATTACTAATTAATCGGCACACATTTCTTTAGTTTAAATTATTTGAGAAAAAATAAGTGGTTTCCTATTTCCCTTATCATTAATACTCGTCTCCCTCCCACCCCCCATAGTTTCCCGCTGACCACAGGCAGTGGTGCTGGAGACAAACCTTTGAGTTAATTAATAACATAGATTGCCCGTGAACCATTAAACGCTGAGCGCCACGGGTGGCGTAGGGTAACCAAATATTTAGTGATTTCAATAAAAAATATACCTACTCTAGAAGCTCCTTATAACTCTGTAGGAAAGGACAAAAGAGATTTGGCATAGTATTTAGTATAGTGTCTTTCCAAATACCACTTATTAGATGGATGAAAAACATAAATGTATTACTTAGAGTTTCTGCGGATTTCAAAAAATTTAATGCCGTTAGTCACATCTACACC